GCGCTGCGGCCGGATGTCACCTGCTCAACCCGGGCGCCGTTTCGGGCTCTGCTGGGTCACCGGTCGGGCGGCTTCCACGGGGGGTGTTTGATGCTCCCTCCCCTTTCCTTGCTCATTGTCCCAGGGGGCGGCCTCAACTCATTTTCCTGGGGGGCTCAAGGCCCCGGCTCCAAGTTTTCCATTGTCTGTCCTTGGACAGAGTGTCTGCGACCCGCAGAGGCTGGGTGCTGGGCGGACACCTGATTCCCCCGGGTACGGGGAGGGGGCGCCTGGCGCGGTAGTGGGGGCTCTGCCTGGCCTCGGAAAGGAGCTCGCGGCCTGAGCCTGGAAAGGAAGACTCCCTTTCCCTCCTTGGCTTTCAGGTCCACCTGGAGGGATCCGAACAAATTAGGCATTAATTATGCCGTTTCAAAGCTGGTGAGGGTGTGCATGCCTTCCCTCGGGCCCTCCCCGGGGCGCGGAGCAGAAGTTCCCAGAGCAGCCTTGCAGGGGTCCCTCCTGGCCCTGGCTGAGGCTCCCAGCCTGAAGGCGAGATTGGGGCCCCACAAACAACTGTAGCTCCCCCCTCCCCCCCCCCCACACACGTACCCACCACACACAGACTCCCGGTTTTCTCTTGGAAGGATTGTGAAAATTGTGTGCGCGTGAGTGTGCGTGCGCGCGCACACGCGTGTGTTGGGGGTGGAGAACAACACCCTGGCTTTTTCCTGCGAAGGGTGGGACTGGGGATAACCTGATCCTTGGACGTGGATTTTCTGTGCATAGAGATAGACTAGAGGGCCCTCCGTTACTCATCCAAGGGAAATATAATCAGCCTTTTGAGCTGGCTGGAGGTGGGAATTGGGGGCGGTCGGGGGATCTTTTTCCCCATGTGTATTTAGGGAGCTTCTCTTTGGCTCTAGCCCAGCCTCAATTTGCCTCAACAGATCCGGGGAGGTGGTGTTTAATTAAAAGCTCAGCTTCCAAAAAGAGTGGGCAGGTTTGGAAGCTGTGCAGCGAGTGGGTGTGGACAGCCCCCCTTCAGCTGCTGCCTGGGCTCGGGGAGGAGCTTTTGTCTGATGAAGTGTAAGGTTTGGACAGGGTTTGGCCTTGGAGATGGACTTTGGGGAGGAATGTTCAGCTGTCACGGGCTACTTCCCCCTTTTAGAACCAACTGCCACCTTGCCCAGGGTGAACTTCTCCAAGGTGCCTCTGTCCTGCTCTTGTCTATTTTGAAATCCTTCTACAGAGCTGTGCCTTTTGTCAGAAATTGACATCCGTGCAGCATTATCTTCAAAGGTATCCTGTTTGCCCCGGAATGCCTCTAATCCAGCCACTTGGAATTAGATTATTCCCTGTTCAAAGACAGCCCCTCGCATTCCTTTGCCCCCAGTTCACCACTGATGTGCTCTTTGGAGACAAAGATTGGTGCCGCCTTGGACTCCTGGAGTATTTCTGGTTAACTTAATTGTGCAGGCCTTATAATCAAACAGGATCTGGTTTGAGGCACACGCCTATTCTGATCACTAGGGGAAGAATCTGGGATGGGTTGGTAAAGCTGCTTGTGTTTTTTTTAGGGAGAGAAAAGGATGTTTCCAGCCCCCCACTAGTAGTAACAAGAACCCAGTGACCTAATAGGTCTGCCCACTGCAGTTCCAGAGTGTAAACATCTAGAGTGTTCCCTCTCTCTTTGTTCTTTAATCCAGAATCTAGCCTTGGTTCTTCCCATTTACCGGTTTGAGCCCAAAGCCCTTCTGTGGGTAACCCTCCACAGAGTGGGCCCTTCTGCTTCCACCTGCCACCCCAGGCCGCCCTGCAGCACTGTGGCTCTGGGGGTTTGTGGGTGCTATGTTGGCATGTTTTTTCCTCCACAAGATTCCAGTTAAAAATAAAGACTTGTTTAATGCTCCTTGGGTGCAGGATCTATAGTCTGTGGTTCCTGAGTTCTTTCCCTTGGAATGTAGTAGCATTTGTTCAACATCCTGTGGGAAGGTATTTATTTTAAAGGTTTCTGTTGGTTTTGTTTTGGCAGCAAAGATTTTAAATGCAACAACTGCAACATGCCTTGGGGTCTGCAGAATTTCAGACTTTTGGGGAGTAGAGAGAGAAGGAAAAAGAGAGGGGGGTGTCTGATTTCCAAGCTTGTTTATTCATAAGATAGTTGCTGAATATTTCCATGGGGTTTTCTTCTTAAAAGATTTCTTCATGAATTAGTTGACTGACATTTTAGAAGGGACTTTTAAAATTTGGGCATATAGGATAAGCAGTGTAGAGTATGCATATGCATGCAGCTGCCAGCAGTAAAAGTCAGTTTTTAATGCTGAAATCAGCTGGCTTTCTAATGCCCTGCTTATCTGTTTCTTTTCCTCTTTGAACTCCCACGATGGGTTTTAATGCCTCTCGTCCCCTTTCTGTGCACTTTGAAGGTCAGGTGTAAATAAATGTTGGACACCCGTTTGGAATGCCACCTTGAGAAAATTTTTAGGTCATTTTCTAAGAAGTGACGTTGGACCGGGGTGAGGAAAGATATGAAAAATGGCTTTTTTAGTAGCATTTGATTCTCCAAAATGAACAACAGCAGCACAGGAAGGGAGTCGATTTCCTCTTTGGAGGAAAAAAACAACACAACAACACAAATGGAGTAATGTCAAGGCCTCGCACCATCTATCTTCCAAAGCCAGAGAGCCCAAGACATGGAAAAGCTAGGGAGGCTTCTTTTTGCTTCCGTCTAATGATCCTTCATCTGGTTAAGTCCTCGGCTGTCAGGGCGTGCGTTGCATCCTTTTCAGGGGGAGGGGCGCCGAAGAAACCCTCACTTGGCTCCCATTGGGATGCAGCTGTTAAATAACTTATTGATTCCTTGTCGAGAGGAAACCTTGTGTTTTTTCCCTTTCTCCCACCCTACTGTGGTGGTGGTCAGTAATGAATGGTGGTGTGCAAAATCGCTTACTGGCTGCCTTTCCGCCCATCCACATAAATCAAGTCGTCTGCTGTGAGCTGATCCCAGAGGAAAAGGGGAAGCAAGAGACTCATGTGGCTGGAGGCACGGGCGCATCGCCTGCTTGTCTCGGGGAACAGCAGCTTGGAAGTGACTGTGTGTGGAAAGTCAGTTGACTGGCTTCTGATGGTTAGATCATGTTGACTGCATTAAGGAGGTCCTGGAATCTTTTCCGAGTTTCTATCCAAGGATAACTGTTGCAAACATCATATTTTTTTTAAATTGAGGTATAATTGACACAGCACACTATATTACTTTCAGGTGTGCACCATACCGATTTGATATTTGTATTTTTTCATTGGTTATTTTTTTTTAAATGTAAGTAATTGAACCTGCATAGAATTCGTGATGTTTGGGGAGCTCGTAGGACCCGGAGACTCTGGCCAAACTTGAGGGCAGCTCACCCTGTGGCTGTCTTTCTTCTTTTAATAATTAACTTAGCTCAAAAACAGTTGGATGCTAACATCAAATATTTTTCTCCGCCTTGTTGCTTAAGAATCAGCGTGTCGGGAGCTGAATCGGGCCTGATGCAGGGAGAACTTTGTACCAGGTCGGAGAGTGTGTTTGGCCTTATGTAATGCGACTGGGAGTGAAAAAAACACCCAACCACACCTTGCATTCCCCACCCAGGTCTCGCTTAGACAGGGTGTCCTGTTACCAGCACCTGTGCTTGGCAGAATAGGGGCCTTGTTCAGTCCCCCTCCGCCGCCCCCACCTCTGTTTGCTACCAATATCCCCTCTCCGGAGTTCTGCCTAAAATTGGATCTGCTAAAGGGACTTCTTGAGTTCCATGGAAATCTTTTGTGGTTCAAAGGCACGTCACGATATTTTCCCTCACTTATCATAAGATCAAGAATGTGGGTAGTGGGCCCAGCCCTGGATCGTGATTTCAGAGTGGTGGTTGTTTCTCCTCCTGCGTTGGCTTTGGGGTTCCAGTCAGCAGAGAGGCTTACTTCCTCAGTGTTTATCGGGTGGCCTGCTCTGTGGAAGGCCTATCGCTGGGCCTCCAGGAGCCACCGATCCACAGGGCCGCCCTTGGAGAGCTGCTTGTCCTGTGGGCCTTTAGCAGCTAATGTCCAATACAGTATGGCGGCCATTCAGGGAGAATGTGGAGTCCAGTCTGGGGCAGGGTGTCAGTCAGTCCCTGCAGGACGTCCCCTGACTCTGACAAAAAGTGTCCGTGAGGAAGGTATCGACAACCCAGCCAAGGCCTCTGCCAGTGGCCAGGCGCTCCGAGGGAGGCGGGCCACTCTGTAAATGGTGACACACAAACGCAGGACAAGCAAAGCCCAGATGGGCCCCACGCTGGCTTTTCTCTTAGCAAATGGCTGTGTTTGCCCAGGGTTTTACAGCTTCCTCAGTTTGGGCCTCTGGGAGAAGTTGAAGTAAAGATGTCATAAAATTGGCAGCAGGGAACTGCCCGGAACGGGTGCCTGTTCAGAGATTTAGGGTCTGTTCTACATAGATGATTTTTGTGTGTGTGTGTGTGTGTGTGTGTGTGTGTGTGTGCGCGCGCGCAAATCTTAACAGTCCAGTTTTGGAAAGAAATCTTTTTTTTTTTTTAAATCTTGGCTGGAGCGTTTTTGTGGGATAATCCCGGTACATCACATTTAACCAAATGGTTCAGAACTAGTTGCTGGATGTTCTGAGATTCCACAGTTAGTAATGCCTGAGATGCAGAGAGAAGGCCAGTCTTGGGTCACGGTTTGCATGGAAGGTAAGCTGAGCTTGAATTTCGCCGGGTTCAGCTGTCACTCAGTTCTTACGTGAGTAACATCTATCCCTAATTCTATAATATCTATTAAGCATCAGCAGGGTTGCAGGCGCCTAGTTCCATGCTATGATTTCATCAGGTAAAGATACAGAATTCCCAGGTACATTTGAATTTCACGAGAACACTGGACAGTTTCA